GATGGGTATTGAGGAGGGCACCTTTTGGGATGAGCACTGCGTGTTGTATGGAAACCAATTTGACAATAAATTTCATATATAAAAATAAATAAATAAATAAAATAAAAAATAAAACTTTTTCCCCCCCCCCAAAAAAAAAAAGAAATTTATGCTGATGGATATTGTTCTTAACTATGTATCTTAAGTGTTCGTAATTGTTCTTAATTATGGTAGTGATATACTATAAAGGGGACAGACGTTACAGAGATGGAGACTTTCAGTTTTAACTGTAATGTCATCTTTTCCTTTACAATTATGCATGTATTCTATTTATTAAAATACATGAATGAATATAGGAATTTTCCTTTGAAAAACAAAATATTGATTCAATGATAAATGTAGTAGTTTCCTCTAGGAAAGAAACGAACTTTTCATAGTATAATCTTGTATACACTATATAGACATTATTTTTTCAATATATTGGGTTGTCTTTGCTTTTCATTCTTTTTTACATCCAAGAGTAAATTAATTAATTGATTGGTTGACTAATCCAACAGCTAATGCCGCCTCATGAGTCTGTTTGTGATCGAGGCTGTCGATTGACTCAACTGAAGGCATTTTTAGGCTGAACACATCACATGTAAAACAAACTATAAATCGAGGTCAGGGGGTTGCTTGCCAGCCCCAGCACTGATGCCACTCTTGCTATCTTGTCCCCACAGATGACAGAGGGCAGGCACTGCCAGGTGCACCTCCTGGATGATAGGAGGCTGGAGCTGCTGGTTCAGGTAGGTGTTGCCCATGAAGAGACAGCCCATACTGACTGGTTCCCTCCGTGAGCCTCATGGCCTCTGTTCAGGCTACTCACTTATTTGTGCCAATGACTTGGGATTGTTTGAGGGGCAAAAGGACAGCTGCTAAGTCAGATGACTTGGTCTACCTGTGAGAATAGTTATATCCTGGGGATGTGGATTGGAGACCCTTGGGTTCTAATCTCAGCTCTGACCGTCAGTAGCTGTGTGACCCCCAGGAAGTAGCTTTACTTCTCTGAACCTCTTGTGGGTAAACGGAGCACTGTAATCTTTCTCCGAAAGGGTTATTGTCAGCTGCAAATCTGCATCCTGCCACTTTGCTGCCACACGGCAGTGTCCAGGTTAAATACCCCACTTCATCAGCTGTGCACCGGGATTGAGACTCCTTACTTTCCCTCAAAGAATTATGGCTAAAATCAAGCTAGATTACATATGAGAATGAAATCTTTTTGTAATATATATGGACTATATGAGTGGTGATATTTTAATTGTTGATCCTTCTCTCTTCATTTACTCAACACTGTGGCCCAAGGACCTAAAAAGAAATTGTGGAGATTCCCTTTGATAGCCACACTGTAGCTATAGCCAGAACTCTCTCCTTTGACCAAACCTAAATTCTTCTCCCTTCTGTGGCTCGTTTCTCACCCACTATGCATAGGCTTCAATTAGAATAAAAATAGTCAACACTGTTTAGCCAGAGTGGACCTTTTAGTCCAGATTTCTGCCTGTTTCTTTATTTCTTCTTTCTTTTTTCTTTTCTTTTCTTTTTTTTTTTTAATCATGACCATTCTTTCTTCCCCAGCAGCAAACATCCAACTCTCAAACCACCATAATGAGCCCTAAACTGTTTGGCTCTAAGTTCAGAAAGAGTCTATGTAGATGCCCTCTTGCATATCACCCTTTTCTTCCCTTGTTCCTGCAAATCCGGCGTCTGCTATCACCTGGGATGTTCCCCCTGATTCCAAAACATGCATTTTGCCACCAGGCCCAGTGCTTCTCAAAAGTTCATAGATTAGATCCTTCTTCTAAGTGTTTAGGAAACACTGGTGACAATCGTATATGCAGTGGGTAAGATCACTCCATCTCAAGAGAGAGAGATGAAAAGCGTAGGCTTTGGAATCAGAAAGAACTGGGTTCAATTCCCTGCCCTTACTGACTGTAACATCAATCCAGGTGCTTAGTTTTTCTTGACTTTGGCCCCCTCATCTATAAAAGGGCAATAAGAACCCCAATCTCATAGGCTCATCCTGAGCACAAAGTGAGATAATGGATAGAAGGAGTTTGGGACAATAAATGGTAACGAGTAGTAGAGTCATAGTTTTATCTCTGATCTCACAGCCTTGGGTCTCCAGCCTCTTCAACTGGCACCCTGCAGGCAAGATTATTCCTACAGTCCACGTAGTGAGGTGTTTGATATTCTTTGTCTTGGTCACTAGCACCATAGTACCTAGAAAAGAGTATTTTTTCAGGAGCACCTGGGTGGCTCAGTTGGTTAAGCATTCAACTCTTGATTTTGGCTCAGTTCATGATCTCACGTTTTGTAGGATTGAACCCCATGGCAGGCTCTGTGCTATGGGACTCTCTCTCTCTCTCTCTCCCTCCCTCCCTCCCTCCCTCTCTGCCCCTCCACTGGTGGTGCACCCATGCTCTCTTTCCCTCAAAAATAAATAAAAATAAACATTCAAAATGACTTTTAAAAAACGTATTTTTCCAAAACATCATCATGTTAGTAAATACATTGTCCCCTGGGAGGAAAAAGTAAATTACTGGACTGAATTGCAAATACATGAAACTGACGATCTCATTGATGTTTCTATTACCATTTCTCCCCCTTCCCAATCTCTTGGAGAATGGTCTATAGTAGATTAACCTAGGCAGCCAAAGGGGGCAGATATTTAAAAACAAACAAACAAAAGCTGCTTTGAACTATTTGGGACAGAGAAGGGTGGTAGCAAAAAGAGAGTGAGGCAACGAAATTGCTTTTCTGATAACATTTTATTTTGACAGCCCAAACTTTTATCAAGAGAATTGCTGGACCTTGTGGCTTCACATTTCAACCTGAAAGAAAAGGAGTACTTTGGAATAACATTTACGGACGACACGTAAGTCTTTTAGTAACGTTCATTTCTTTCCCTTTCATCTGGACTACCTACTCACTGTCATTCACAATTAGCAAAAAATTGCTGGAAATGCCCCAAGAATTAGAATATGCCCTGCTTAGTTAAAGATTGTTTAATAACAGGATTTCTCTCCTAGGACTATTAGTGGAAAGGGAGAAGAAAGGGAATATTGATCATTTTTAAACACGAAAATATTGCCCCAAGTGTTTTAGAAATTTGTTTTGTAATGAGGTTGTTATTGTTGCTAGTACATCTGCACATTTTTTTTTAATATAGATGTGTATGATTGATATAAACACTAGATTTTTGGGGTGTGTGGGTGGCTCAATCATTGGGCATCTGACTCTTGATTTCTGCTCAAGTCATAATCTCACAGTTTGCAACATCAGCTCTGCTAGGGCTCTGCATGAGCCTGCTTGGGATTCTCTCTCACCCTCTCTCTCCGCCCCTTTCTGCTCATGCTCCATCTCTCTCTCTCAAAATAATAACCATAAAAAGAAATACTAGATTGTTATTCACTCATATGTTGAAATGAGAATTAATGTCTTGGGTGTTGATGGCAAGAAAGTTTAAAGGCAGATGTGTGGCCCACCTGAAAAATACTGTAGAGTTTTAATACAGAATAAACTTTTCCAGCTCTACTTAGGTCCATTTTATGTCACCTCTTCACTATCTTTTTTTCTTCTACCTTCATTTTTTATGTTAACTTGGACATTGTATATATTTATCAATAATTTAAATGCTTTCTGAAATGAGACCTATATATAACAATAAAATCATAAGAATTTGGGGGCACCTGAGTGGCTCAGTCAGTTAAGCATCTGACTTTTTGGCTCAGGACATGATCTCACGGTTGCTGGGTTCAAGCCCAGCATCAGGCTGTGTGCTGACAGCTTAGAGCTGGGAGCCTGCTTCAGATTTTGTGTGTGTGTGTCTCTCTCTCTCTGCCCCTCCCCACTCATGTTCTTTCTGTCTCTCTAAAATAAAGAAACATTCAACATCTATAATGCCATTTTAAAAGTGTATAAGGATGAAAAGATTGCTTAGGCTTCAAAGACAAAATTTGTTGCATTTTGCTGGAAGTCATTTTGTCAGGAAATAAATAAATAAATACTACAGTACAAATAAATAAATAAATAAACATTAAAAAAAAAAAACCCAAATATAAAATTCAAGAAAATGCATTCCAGGGGCGCCTGGGTGGCGCAGTCGGTTAAGCGTCCGACTTCAGCCAGGTCACAATCTCGCGGTCCGGGAGTTCGAGCCCCGCGTCGGGCTCTGGGCTGATGGCTCAGAGCCTGGAGCCTGCTTTCGATTCTGTGTCTCCCTCTCTCTCTGCCCCTCCCCTGTTCATGCTCTGTCTCTCTCTGTCCCAAAAATAAATAAATGTTGAAAAAAAAATTAAAAAAAAAAAAAGAAAATGCATTCCAGGCACAGAATATATTGGCCTACCAGTGAGCATTCTTCTTGTACTCCAAGAAGTTCAAATGTTACCTCAGTTCTTTAGTTTAACCAGGCAGAAAATAATCACAAAAAGGGGTTACTTTTTTTTAATATCTTGCTTCTGATTATTTCCAGCCTAGGTGGGCCACTAGCCTAGGACCCCCCCACCCGCAACAACCTCCCACCCCCCGCAGGAAATGCCATCAGGCTCAGGACTTGGGCTGGACAACACCAGGCAATCACTTGCTGGGAGACACAAAAACCTGAAAACTTTGATCCCAGGCCCAGGATGCTTCCTGAATAGGGTTCCACAAACCAGAAAGAAAGTAAACTAGACATCACTCACCTCACTCAGAATCACAAAATTATCAGTTCACGCAACAACTATTTGAGACCCTGTATGATCAGTCCTCTGCTGGGTGAAATAGGAAGGGCAGATAAACCTAGACCACAAGCTCTTTGCTGGAAAGACAAGTCTAGTTCATGTGAATCAGTGATTAGACGCATGCACAAATACACACACACACACACACACACACACACACAGGTTGTAAGTGATTGTGAATGCAACAATAGCAAATAGAATATGGCGAAATCCTAAAATACGTAATGGCTAAGTTATATGGTTAAACTGTAAGTGCTGTAAGCCCTAATTTAGAGAGGTCACATAGAATAGAGACAAAAAGCATGAATATTGGAATAACTTATTCATTCAACAAATATTTCTTGAGTGTTTACCAATTGCCAGCCATTGTCCTAGGTTCCAGAGATTCAGCTGTGCACAGCAGAGACAAGGTGCTTGCTTTCCTGGAGCTTATATTGCAATGGTGTGGTCTAGCAGAACAAACACATAGATCGGTGAGAAATCACTAGAAACGATACATGCTTGGAAGAACATGATCAAGGCCATGATCAAGAAAGGTTGGGGGGGGCAGTTTTAGATCGGTGGACCAGGAACACTTCTAGGAGGTGCCATGTAATAAAAAGCAAGAACCAGTTCTGCAAAAGTTGGAAGGCATTCCAGACAAAAGCCAGTGTGAAAGCCTTGAGGTGAGACTGAGCTAGACTTTGGGGTGGGGGGGCGGCGGTTATTTTGTAGTTTTGAGAAAGAAAAAAAATCCACTGTGACTAGAATATAGAGGGTAAGGAGGAAAGTGGTGCAAGTTAAAGGTTGAAAGGGAGGCAAGGAGTAGATTGTTTTAAAATTGTGGTAGCTATGTGATTTTAGGCCAGTTACTTAACATCTCTGACCCTCTGCTTTTCTCATCAGTACATCAGGCATAATAATAGTACCTATATAATAAGGACTATATAGGACACGTGTAAAGGGTACTAGTATGATGTACTGTTAAGGCAGGTCAGGCGTGCACAGGCACCCACTAAAAGGAAGCTGTCATGCTATTTTTGGTACTGGCAGTAAGTTCAGTGTCCAGAAAGGGCTAAAGGAGGACTTGAGTGGAATTCACACAAGAGGATGACTACAGGGGTACCTGGGTAGCTCAGTCGGGTGGGCATCTGACTCTTGATTTTGGCTCAGGTCATGATCTCATGGTTCGTGGGTTCAAGCACCACATCGGGCTCCATGCTGACAGTGCAGTGCCTGCTTGGGATTCTCTCTCTCACCGTCCCTCCCCCACTTGCAGGCTCTCTGTCTCTCTCAAAATAAATAAATAAATAAATAAATAAATAAATAAATAAATAAATAATTTTTTTAAAAAAGAGGGTAATTACCAATGGACAGTGCAAGGCAAGTAGACTTGGGGTAGAGTGGAGAGGAATGGGAGATGACATTCCAGGGAAGACTTATTCTATGGGCCAGTGCATGAGCATGGTAATGTATATGATTACACGGTGGAGCAAGATATAAGACAGACAAGATCATAGGTGAGTGAGCCCTGCGTGTCACATAGATCCTAGGCCACTGCAGGATGTTATGCCCAGGAGTTACATAATTCATGACTGGTGTTGCAAGTTCCCCAGGCTCCAGTGTTCATGGTGGGCTGGAAAAGGGGGTCCTGGCTACATGGATGGCTTCTGGGAAAGCTCCCAGTTCAGGTGAGCATAACCAAGCAGTGTATAAATCAGGCATGCAGATATCAGACTTTCTCTTCAGAAGGAAAAGGAATAATATGAATGACTTTGTTTAATGCCTTGGGCCACCCTCCCCCTCTTCTCCTCTGGGATTTCTTTCTAAATCCTCTCCTGGGAGAAGAAAGTCTCACTCAGGCGCCTCCTCCAGCTATCTCCTTTGGCGACAGTGGTTGATGGTTATAGTCTTTCCAAGAAGCCTGGCTCCAAACTGTCCTCTGTGTACTCCCCTGCAAGTGACAGCAGAGTCTATTTTTGAATTATGACCAGTTTGGAAGTGTCTTCTGGCTCTTGCTGTGTTTATTTTCAGAAGAAGTATGAACAGGGTTTGGGGGGGAGGGGGGCGGGGGGGGTGAATTTGGCCATTTCCACCTTTCTGGGGAACAGGTCTGGAAAATTGCTTCTGTCTAAGGGTGTCTCTTTGGAATGTCTTGGTCACAAGCCTAGCTCTTTTTCTTTGTCTGGTAAATATTTTTGGAAAGTATTTTCTTTCAGCACTCCCTTTCCCCGCCCCCCATAAAACCACTGAGTCGGATCCCTCCCAGGATGCTGTCTGAATTGTATTTTCCAACCTAGATGCCACATCAGCCTTTTGCCTTCAGTGAACTTCTCTAAACAGAGTAAGGCAACGCTGAGGGGAACATTTTGTCAATGAAACTAGCCACTGTCTATGCCCTACTCCACAGGCCAAGAAGAGAAATGGAAAAATAGAGTTGTGCCGTTACATAAGAAAGGTAGTGATGGTGACCAACAAAAATAAATCCGTGGCCCTGCTGGAGGGCGGGGTAGAGTTCCTTGAGATTATGCTTGGAAGTACCTCCTGGTGATCGGTGTGCAGAGGCAGTCTTTCACCCCTAGAGGGCAGTCTTGCCCTCCTGAGATAGCCGCCTTGAATTTCGCCAAAATGGTTCCCATCTCTTCAACTCACTTGATTTTTTTTTTTAATTCCACTGTTTTGAAAGGCTTTGTTGAATAAGCTGTGTTTATGAAGAAATAAATAGGTTTTACAACACAGTTGTGAGTTTTGATTACCATCCCGTTCGATGGATGTGAGATGAAGGGCTTTTTGACCCATATACTTCTATATATACTTCGTCACCCTCTCGCCGAAAAAGTTTGCTTTAGGGTTGACCTGCGTGCACAGTTTCATAGAGGTGAATGTGTAGATTCAGCTTCGTGAGATACTGATTAGATCTAGAATATTTGCTGATGGAAAAATTTGAGAAAAGCAGGTTAGAAGCAATAAGTGCTTTTTGATCTCATTTTAGTCTCAGAGACTGTAAAACAACACGTTAACCTTAATTATATCTCGGTGATAGAGTTATGGGTAGTTTTCCACTTTTTGTTCTTCTAATTTTATTTTGTTGTGAGATTATGGATGGATTTTTTTAAGTTTATTATTTTTTTGTCATAATCTCTACACCCGATGTGAGACTCAAACTCATGACCCAAGATCAAGAGTTGTGTGCTCTTCCAACTGAGCCAGCCAGGTGCCCCTGGGTAGATTTTTTTAAATATAATATTTAATTTATCCTTTAAAAAATATTTTTATATTATATATACATAAATGTGTTTTTATAAAAATCATTTAACATGATAGTTGAAGCCAGTCCCTTTTGATTATCTTCCCACTCCAAATGTTGCAGTTTGCTCTAGACCTCTCTAGAACTATAAGCATTTCATCCGTAGATAATGGTGTTTTCAGTGTGCGTCTTTGTTTAATATAATTGATTTATGCTGTATATGGTATTATACAGTTTGCTTTATTCATTCTTGGACATGATTCCATGCAAGTTCATGTAAATATACACTGTGCTTTTTTAATGATGCCACATCTTTCCTATATAAAAGCAAGAAAAATGATTCAAAATTAGTCTCATTTTCCCTAAAATCCTTTGAGACCTGATAGTATACGCTATTTTATGTATTTTAAGACATATATTTGAACATGTCTGAAGTTGGCATATGTCTTTAACTCAGTACCATTCTAAACTGCATGAAATACAGGGGAAGAATCTCTTACCTTCTAACCCCCGTGTTTCTATTTTTTATGCACAAAAGAAGTATTTCTAAAAACTTCCCCTTATATCATTTATATCAGCTTATTTGTCTTTGTAATAGTCCTCCAAGTAAAGCTAGGGACAATTATCATAAGCCTCATCTTAAAATCACAGAAACAAAGACACATTTTTTCCAGTGTTGAGACTAGTAAGTGACAGAGACCAGCCCAAAGTTATAAAAGCTGATTCAACCCTTTAGTTTCCTGTATCCAGAGTCTTGTACTCAAAGCCCTGAACTTAAGTCTTAACTTTGCCACCTTTTTTGCAACCTTACTGTAAAATATAGCTGTAATATGTAAAAAGTTCCAGCTTAGGTGGCACAGAGTAGTTGCTCAATAAGGAGAAGCCCTTCTTCTCCTCCTTCACTTTCTCTTCCTTACCCTTCTCCTCCTTCTCTTGCTCTTCCTCCTCCTCCTTCTTCTTCCTCTTCTCCTGCTCCTCCTCCATTCTCCTCCATTCTTCTCTTCCCCCTCCTCCTCATTCACTCTCCTCCTCCTCCATTCTCCACCATCGCCTCCTCCTCCTCCCCCTCCTCCATTCTCCTCCATTTTTTTTCCTCCTCCATTCTCTTCCATTCTTTCTCCTCCTCCTCCTCCTCCTCCTCCATTCTCCTTCTCCTCCTTTTTTTCCCTCTTGTTCTTCCTCTTCTTCTTTATTATTACTATCATTAGTATTTCCTATCTACTTAGAATGACTACAGCTTAGAGTTTTCTGAGTTAAAAATTATTTTCTCAAAGACCAAAATAGGTTGGACAATATCTTCTGGCCCATTACAGGTTTTATTATAATTTTACACCCCATCACTATTTGCATGGTTTTGAGTTTTACATAAGCAAGCAAAATGGAGTCTATGCCTTCTGGGAATATACAGTCTAAAATGGCCCAACTGGTTGGACAGCCTTGGAAAAGTCATGGAAATGATCCCAAGTCATCAATCCTTTTAATCCCTGAGAGGTCACAATTTAAGGAGAACTGTTTATATCCATGAACTTTAGGCTTTTGAGTAAATAAACAAACACAAGCTTAAATATTAGGAGGTCCATAATATACGTATAGAAACAGCACTCAGAGAGCCTTTGACCCTGTACTTTTAAAGAAACTGTAGTACTGTTATATGTGTCCGATGATTTCATTAAACCAGTTTTCTCCTTCTTGACTATCTAAAATATTCATATATCATATTTAATAAGAATTTAAAGATTAATGTATTAAGGTTCAATTAGTTTTCTTTTTACCTCCAAAGGCACCCAGTGTTAGTCTCTTATTTATCATCTCAGAGATATTTTATATATGTGTGTGTATGTGTTTTTTAATTTTAAAAGGGCTATATTCTGTACTCACAGTCATGCATCTTGCTTTTCCATTCAACACCATGTCTGGAATTGTTAAAAATAGGTTTGTAAACATACTCTCCTTCTTTTGTGTGGCTACATTGTATAATATTTCTCAGTTTAAATTATTTTTTTAAACATGACCTTGTTGGACATGTATAGGTTGTTTTGAGCCTTTTTCCTCTTACAACCAATGCTAAAGTGACTTTATACTTAGGCCATTTTTCACATGCACAAGTTTATCTTGCTAAACTCTTGCACGTGGACAGTCTAGTTCAGAGGCAGATGCTTTTATAATTTAGATAGTAATTGTTAAATTGGTCTTAGTACCAGTTGTAACAGGTTATACACCTACCATCCGTGTATGACACTTTCCCCACAGCTTTGCCAACCTTGTGTGTTATTTAACCTTTCTCTGACTTCTGTTTGATCTTTTTTCTTTGCTTTACTCTCACAGAGGTCAGCAGAACTGGCTACAGTTAGATCACCGAGTTCTTGACCATGATCTGCCCAAGAAACCAGGCGCAACCATTTTGCATTTCGCTGTGAGGTAGGTATCGATAGAAACATCCAGCATTCTCACCTCCCTTAAAAAAAAAAAAAATCTGTGATCCACTAGAGAATAAAAAAAAGAACAGACCCATCAAAACATTATGTGAAAAAGATTCTCTACTGTCTTAGTCTGGAGACTAAGTTGCCATAGATACCGTGTAGGATTGTTTTCTTTGAAGATGAAGGGTAGAATCACCTTCCTTTATTCCTCAAAGTCCTCTGGATCAACTTAAAGGTGAAAAATACATTGTATTTTAGTACATAACTTGTTTCTGACTCAACATACCTTTAGCATTTTTTTCATTTGAAATATGGCAAACATTTACTGTTACATGTTATGTATGGACATTTCCTAGACTGTGGAAAGGATTGAATTTTATACGATTTCACGCCTTAGTTTGAATAGGCGATAAAATGCAAACAAATGCTCATGGAAAGAATTATCTTAACCGTACAGAAATCTGAATTCAGCTTGCAGGCAGAGAGATTGCTGAGAAAGATGTAAGGAGTCCTTGACCTGTTCTCTGAGCTCTGCTTAATTAGGAAATTCACTTACCCATACCTATGGGCCTCCATGTATGTTTCCTCCAGAAATGGATGCATTCAACTCAAACAGTGATTTCTTAGAGCCCGCCCATGATGGGAATGTTTTTCCACATGAAATATGCACACTCTACGATAAATACAATGTTATAAAAATTAACACTTGTGTTACTGTGCCTAGTTTAAGAAATAAAACACTACCAGTCTTGCTGAAAGCCCCTTTTTGTGCATTAGCCACTCTTCTCACTACCTGAATTTGATGATAAATTTCATGATAACTTGTCTTCTTTGTCTGAAGCCAAATATGGTAAAACAAGGTAAGGTAGTAGATTTCCCAGGAATCTAAATAAGCTATCGTAACGCTAGATCAACCTAAAGCATGTTTCTGTATTCTGGGCTTATGGTATTTTTTGGATGTTGAAATACGCTTTGTTTGAGGCACCTGGCTGTCTCAGTCGGTAGGGCATGCAGCTCTTGATCTCTGGGTCGTGAGTTCAAGCCCCACATTAGACAGTCTAGTTCAGAAGCAGATCCTTTTATCATTGTGATAGCAAAACTAAAAAAAGAAAGAAAGAAATATGCTTTGTTTTATGACATCATCGTGGAAGCTTCTTATTATCCTTTTTTAGAATTTATATACTATGATGACCTAACAAAATCATATTGATTTACACGCTTTTTAACAAAATTTTCACTTGAGTCTGCTACATTAAATCCAAAGTGTGGTAATAAGATGTCCCATCTTTTCTTAAGTATCTTGTTTTATATGAATTGATGGTGATTGTGGATGATAAGTGCTCCTTACTCAGTAAATAAAGTATGGATGATCCCCAATTTGTTTTTTGCTTTTCGCTCTGCACGCTGGCCTAGAATTTCTTTCATGTCACCAGAAATCATATTTTTGAAATCCAGGAGCATAGCTGGTGTGGAGAAATGGAAATCCTAAAGAAAAATACAGGACTTTCCTGGAAAGAGTATGACATGAGTGTGTGTGTTTGTGGAAATGGAGAAAAGAGCAAACACAAACTAGCAAGCAATAGGAAAAAGTGAGTATTAGTAATTAAGCAGGGGGCAGAGAATAGAGAAATTTTCATCTTGTGTCTGAGCAGTGGCCCAACATCAATATATTTTTTCACAAAATGTTATAGTGTCACTGTAAACATTTCAAATTATATGAAATTACTCTCTCTCCCCAGCCTTCCTCCCTCCCCTCTACCTCCAGCTCCCTATTATTCTTAGAGAAAAGTAAGGATGATAGTTACTGGTGACTTACTTTGTTTTTACCTGGAGATTTTTCCTTGTTTATGTAAAAATCTACTTTATTTCTTTGCACTTTCGTAATTGAGGTGTCCAGTCCCCTATGAAGCACCTAGGCTGCTTCCAATTGTGTGTATGTTAATGTAGGCTGCAGTTAACATCCTTGCTTTTTTTTTTTAAATCTTGTTTTAATTTAAAAAAAATTTTTTTAATGTTTATTTTTGAGAGAGACAGAGTGTGAATGTGGAAGGGGCAGAGAGAGAGAGGGAGATGCAGAATCTGAAACAGGCTCCAGGCTCTGAGCTGTCAGCCCAGAGCCTGATGCAAGACTCCAACTCAGGAACAGCAAAATCATGACCTGAGCTGAAGTCAGATGCCTAACCAATTGAGCCACCCAGGCGCCCTAACATCCTTGGGTTTTTATCTTTGCGCACACATGTAGTATTTACGCAGCATACCTCCTCAGCAAAACCCTTTGTCTTTGGAGAACTTAACAACTACCATTTATTTAGTCACCAGACTGTGAACTCGTTCTTGAACAGCTGATATCTGGTCTAGTTTTGGTCTCAAAATAAGAGGGGAGAAAGCTCTGTCTTCCTTCCTATTCAGTCATTCATAAGGCAGTCCTATCTTTTCGAAGCAGGTTCCTGAGATACCCAAGTAGCCTGCTACTCATTCCGTGAGTTTTCAGCACTTACTTGAGTGTTATCTCGAGAGTATCCCATAATCACAAGCCATTACTGCCCCTAACTACTTGCATGTTTAAAACCCTTATCAACTTTTTAATTATTTGCGTAATTTTTCCTCCCAGCAGTACAGTGAGATCATAATAGTCTTTGTTATTATTCCAATTAAGTACTTGTTGTTACTGCAACTTAATTAAAGGAACGATAAGGCAAAAGCACACAAAGAATTAACTGACGGAGGTCACTTAGTGGAATGTCATTCTCTGGAGATCTCAGGAAGGGGATTACATGCATCCCTGTGAAGTCCAGTGCCTCCCAGAGGGCCTCTAGCCTTCTCTTTTGAGAGAACAAAACTGTTGGTGGGAGTTATATCCCAGTAGACACCGCCAATAACCCTCGAGGTCTTGCCTGAGTTGGCTACACATTTAGTCAGTGAAGAATAGAACAAAAGATGGCTTTTGGTTTTGTTTGGATATTGGTCATTACAGGAGCCTCTGGAAATATGCAGGACCTCTTTTTTTTTTTTTTTTTTTTAATTGAACTATAGTTGACACGCAATGTTACATCAATTGCAAGTGTACAACATAGTGATTTGACAACTCTATACATTATGCTGGGCTCACCACAAGGGTAGCTACCCTCTGTCACCATAGAGCGCTGTTACAATACAGCTGACCATATTGCCCATGTTGTACCTTCCATCCCTGTGATTTACTCATTTCATAACTGAGAGCAGTCACTGAGGTGCAGTCACCAAGTAGTTAATGCACAATGAGAAAGGACTCCCTACAGTGGTAGCACATTACAAGGATATGCATCCCTGTTATTTTTGTTGCAAACAATTAGAAATATCCAAATGCCAACAATGAAGATAGGTTCAGTAAGTTATGGCATTCTCACAGTGAACAATTGATCACTTTAATAAAAGAGATTAGATTTTTTTTTTTTTAAGTACGTTTCATTCCAGTACTTCCCCAGAGGGAGAGGGGGCACATTTCTGAATCGTCCTAGGAATTTCTCAAACTATACGGTCACACCCCTCCAACTCCCAAATCCCCCACATTCTGGCCCAGATTCCGATATGGTGCACTAAAGACAGTGAGTAAGGTATGGTTCAAGTTGGTGTGACAAATAAAGAGAGATTGGGATACAAAATAATTTTGCAAAGTGCTATAAAGATATAAGAAAATATCAATTTTTAAAAAGTTGTAGTGTTTATGAAAAAGAAAAATACCATACGGTTTTGCTCTCAAGAAGTTTTCTCTCTATTGAAATGTAGTATTAACCCTATCGAGGGCACTGGGCTAAATATTTGACATGCATCATCTCACTGAGTCCTAAGCTAAACATTGGGGTCCTGCAGTCAGAGAGGGGGGTCTCGGGGAGAGGGCGACTTTCTCTTGGTTAGTTTCCCCCAGGACGCAGGGAGCAGCTCAAAAACACGTGCTGCTTCTGCATGGAAGAAAGAAAACACTGAAGGTGAGGGCGCTTAGCTTTCCCTTTATAAACTTCAGGATTAAACCTTTGTCTTTTCTTTAGTTGTAAAAGCTCAATGATACTGCTAAATACATGTGTGCCACATGGGTGTATAGAGGCTCCATCATTTATTTCTGCACCGTAATTCATGGAACCAATTCTCTATTTCCATGTGAGTCCAAACTCCCCCGGTTGCGGGGGACTTCCCCAGGCCAGGGGTTGTTATTTGCTGCTGTAAATTATCTTCTGCAAACACATGGGCCTCTTTGGTAATGCAGCCCAGATGTGAGCATTTGAAAAGCTTGATAGTGAGTGAGCACACAAGCATTTAAATCAGAGAGCAGGGACTTGGCGTGACCTCATTGGAAAACCTCCCATCCCCTCTGGGGAGGGCAGGCGGAGGTGGCTCAGGCTGGTACCACCCAGCTCCACACAAAGCAGTGTCTCAGGGTCTTGCGCTCCCTTATTCTTAGACTACTTCTTGCTTGCTCCCCCACCCCCTCCCTTTCTGGTCTTCCGTCTTCTCCTCCCTGCTTTTCCTCCTCCTCTTTCCAAGTCACCTCTGCTATGCCCCAGGACTGTAACTGGCCATTCAGAGGTAACCCTTAAAGTGTTGTCTGTAACACCCAGGGCTGAGAACTCTCTGTGTTCATTGGAGAGTAGTAGAAATGTGGGGCATGGGAGGGAAACCACTCCATTTCTGTCAAAGTTGCTGAAAATATGGAGCATTTGAAAGACTTTCTCAGGCTTTCGGCACCCCCTGGCCTGGTTCTGGAACACTCGGCCTTTAAATAAGAGCTAAACTTGGGGCGCCTGGGTGGTTCAATTGGTTAAGCATCCGACCTCAGCTCAGGTCATGATCTCACAGTTCATGAGTTCAAGCCCCACGTTGGACTCAGTGCTGACAGCTCAGAGCCTGGAGCCTGCTTGGGATTCTGTGTCTCCTTCTCCCTCTCCCGCTCCCCACTCACACTCTGCCTTTCTCTCTCTCAACAATAAATAAGCATTAAAAATTTTTTTTAATTAAAAAAAAGAG